CTCCTTCGGCTTCGCCTCGGCCGGGGGCTTCTCGGGCTTGCCGCCGCCGCCCTTGACCTTCGCCACCGCGGCGGGGTTTTCTTCCCCTCGGAGAGCCTCGCGCACGCGGCGAGGAGCTGAAGCATCTGATTCGTGTGCTCGGGATCGACCCCGGCGACGATCTTCGCCGGTTTCGCCGCGCAGCTCTGCCCCGTCGCGGCCTCGATCACCCGGATGAGGAGGTCGAGGAACTCCAGTTTGCTCTCTTTGGTGGTCACCTTCGCACTGTCCAGCATCTCGGGCGGGTAGAGGCCGTTGGGGAAGTTGTTCGCGGCGAGGAACCCCGTCACGATGTCGTGCAGGAAACGAAAAGGGGGGCGTGCGAGGAGCTTCTCGGTTAGCTTCGGCGTCGTGATGACGGCGCCGAGCTCCTTCTGCGTCTTTTCGATAAACCCTTCGGACATCGGCACGCGACGACTGGTGGTTTCTAGAGGATCTTGATCCTTGCCCTTGTCGGTGGTGTTGTGAATTCTACAAGTGTGTTCGCTCTGAAGTGAACGTCAACGGTAGTGGTGGTGGTTGGAAGAAGATGAGATCAGAGGCAGGAGATTTAATGCAACCACACACACACACATAAATATATATATATGGATAGAATGGGGATTATAGAAAGCGCAAGATGTACGGTATACAGAAAAGTACTCTCCAAATGCACTGAAAGCAAGAGAAGGGTAAGAAAGAGACCCCATGCTTTGATCGTTGGGTGTCCTGAACTACAAGAAGTGATAGACAACACTAGACGTCTGGAGATATTTATGATGAGCGTTACGCCCGATCGGCAAGCAAATTCACAAACTATCATTCGTTGTTAGTCATGCATTTCCTCAATGTTGGGACTCTCCCCCAGGGCTCTACAAAGGCGCACCCATAGCTCATCATCGCTATGATGATGTACCACATCCTGTAAGAAGGCATCTTTAGCCCGCACAAATATTTGTCTATACAACTCTATTGCGTCCGTTGTCGCCTCATACCGTTTTCGACACTCAACACAGACCTCATTGTTGGTATTCTCAGCCTTCGAATGATTATCGCCCACAATGCTTGAGGTAGTTCCTGTGCTCGTGGTTTCCTTCTTTTTGGTGACGACATGATTCCCGATGCTGCTGACACGGCGGCCGTTTCGCAACGTCGAGTGAAGCGGACGCGTGTACGAGCTGCCGTTCGCAGGCTGCGGTTGAGCACGCATAGATGTTAAGCTGATGTCTATGCTAACGGTGGCAGGTAACTTACCAATCCCTCTAAGCCTCGACAACCTTGTGCGCTATCTACTTCTTTTCTCTGTTTTCTAGCAGCTCCCCCCAACAAAGGGCTACACGACGTGCCCTTATCGACAGCTGGACGTTCTTCTGATCAGTGTCCTCGATTCGAGGGGGTGATAAGCTCCGTCTAGATGACTATGGTATAGCACTACAAAGGATAAATAAATAAGAGAAAAAACATGAATTCCGACAGTACCTTTCTTCTCTCAGATTGTCTCCCCTTTGATAATTCATCTCAGAGTGTGTTCAACACATTACCTGGCTTGCTTTTCTTCACAGAAGGCTATAGCCGCATGCAGAGGATAACACAAGAAAGATAAATAAATCATAGTATATGTTACTAAAAACCAAAGAGTATAAATAAGAAAATCAATAAATATATATATATTATAGACATATTTTTTTTTATCATCTCATCAAAGGTCTTTATCCCTGCGCGGCTCTCAGAAGCAACGCGTTGATACCCCTTCGAATTCCTTTAGCCTCTATTTCTCCTTAACTAATCATTGTCGTGCTTCATATTACAGTAATGGATAAACTACGACACTCACCGTTAAAAATGCTTCCAAGCCCATGCATACAATAATTTGTAAGCACTCATATAAAGATATTTACTGAGGCAAATCACCCCAATGGTTGCTGTGTGAAATTGCTCTTCCCTTAATCTTTCTCAGTTGATAAGATTTTAAGGCGCATCGAAAACGCAGAAGATTTATTTCTGGTATTCTAACTACGCGCTGTGCGCGACGTCTCTAAGATGCTTCTGTGCGGATTTTCAAAGAAACCCCTTCGCTGTAATACCCTCTTTCTACAGTGCTCTAGCACTTGAGAAAAGGTTACAGATAGAAACATCATGCGTGTGATGTATACCAGTTGCATGTTATTTGTATGTATCTCGCATGTGCACCATGGGTGTAATTTTCATCTTCTGGTCCACCCGCGATGCGATCGGTGAGGAGATTCACGGCAACGGGGGCTGTGGATGGTTACGTGAGCATGAGTATAAACCGTACAAGAGAGATGAAAGCATCAGAAGAGAATGATGAGCCACGGGATCAACATACGCCGTATGCGGAGGAAGAGAAAATAAGCCCCTTCGATGGGCTGTAATGCAATTTTAGTTTCTTCTCTTCTTCGGTGCATGCATGAATCGTAGAGCTAAACCAGATAATACTACCAAAAGATAGCACTAAGTGTACTTTACGTTTGGCTACGATGTCGTCGATGGCCGTGATCCCAACTAGGTCTGTTTCGCCATGGTCGTGAATCCAGTGAATCGTCAGGAGAAGCTGCATTGGGTAATCTCTGTAGTGTTCCAGCTCTATAAGGGTATTGGGGGGAAAAAAACTACATGTTTCGATACGAGAGACAAACATTTGCAATCTATTTTCTTGTACTAACAAATGTAGTTACCGTTGAAGTGCAGGTTGAGATTCCTCTTAATATGTCCCTCAACTTGTTGGGCGATGTCATTCATTACACATTTCTCAGGATTCACTCGAAAAACGCAGGAACATCAGAATCCAGCTGGCCATTGAGTTCACGAAGGATTCCACGATATGGGAGCATTTGTACCCGATACCCTATTCGCTCGACGTAGATAGACGCCGCCGCATTACCAGTGAGTGCCATTGACGACGTGTAAACTTCTGGCGGCCTATAAGTGAAAGCGATGAGAATACTGCATGCATCGCGAAGGAGTCAGTTCTCTTGTGTCGTACTCAAAGGAGTATTTGGTCCGTACGCCGAAAAAACCCTTGAATGCGATTTGTAGGAACTGAAGCGATAAGGTACGTGCAAGATGTTGATGAGGTTTCCCATGTATTTGGCAAGTTCAGACGCGCTGAAGTCTTTGATTTAATGTGATCCGAGGGGGGGAGAGGAGCTAGAGATGAGCTTGCATGACTCCTCAGGGTGCAGCTCGCATAAAATTTCCTTCTTGTGGGACTTCGTCAAGCTACATTTTAGAACGACAAATTATGCTTCCGATATGCTACACTGGACAAGCTCAGTTAAAAAGCACCAAATGCGCATGACTATATAAACACATTAACAAGACAACGAAACAGGGGTAAAGCATGAGTTCTCATCTCGCAGCTACACATTATAGACAATTAATCCACCCCTTCTAAGACACATCGTGTGAAAAAGAGTTTATTAGCTTTTTTTTTATAATAGAGTTCATCGTTCGTGATCCATCTCTCCTAAATATATTTTAGGAAACAAATTACTCCACTCTCACCTTAACTAAAAAATTACCATGCTCAGTAACAAAACTAATCCAGAGAGTAATGTAGAATGGTCGTCTCCCCGCAAGACAAGCAAGATGAGCATGTTAATTCAATTCACCCGCACTCATACATGATGAAAAGTTGGGTCCTGTTGCAACGTCTTGAATAATAGAGCCATTTTCTACCGACATCCAAGTGTACATTCAAACCTTCGAGGTTTTACAATGAATAGAAAAGTACACAAAAAACACCCCTCGCGTTGTGGTTATTCATTAACAACAATCAGGGTGAATAGATAAACAATCCAGATTTTGCTACCAGCTTACCAAATTGATGCTTTCAAATTATTTTATTCGGAAATTCCTATCTAACCTTTCCTTGATTCCTACTCATGTACATACAAATTTCCTAATATCACCCGAATAACCAATCCCACGGCATTGATCGCAACCCGACACCGTAGTCCCCTCCAAAGACCGGTCGCGCCTTCTTCACGCACAATGGATTTCGCGCAGTCGATTATTCCATTGTACGGGGGGTGCGTGTCGTCAGAGGCGGTTAGAATCAAGCGCCGACCCACCACCTCGAGGGGTTGCATGAGGACGTCAGATACAAGCGAGAGACCCGCAACGATGCTGTACGGATGATCCTCCTGCAGATGCGAAGGGATCAGCAGCGAGGCCCCGATGTAGAGCCCGCGGTAAACCATAACAAGAATGGGATCAACAAGGGCCCCCCGGTAGAACGCGCGGAGGCCTTGTCGATGGTAAATACTCTGCGTCGCCTCGGTGGCGGAGCCGTAGAGGTAGCATTCCGGCTCTATCGAACGGTTCGCCTTCTCCTTCGCCTCCTTCGCCGCCGCCTCCGTTGTGGGTTCGTCGACTTCGAGGGGGCGGTTTGGTTTCACGGCGGCCTCGGCCTCCGCGCGGGAAGGGGGTGGGGCGACGATGTCGGCCATGAAGTTCGTCATAATACTCCGACGCAGCGCGAAGTAGGGGGAGGCCACCACCACGGCGAGGGCGGTCGCGCCCATCGTGATCGCCAGTGCGGCCGGGAGGCCGATCGTATCCGACAGGGACGCGGGCACGACCGCCTGGACGACCCTGGAGACGAGGCTCATGCTCAGCGAATCCACAAACCCGGCGGGGAGGGAGAGCACGAGGTCGACCCCGACCCCGCGGAAGAACCCCCGCCCACCTTCCCGCCGCCACACCCGTCGAACGCAGCCGAAGACGCCTTCAAACCCGTGCGAGGCGGGCAGCCGGCCCTGACGTTGGAGCTCCCCTTCCACGGTGGTGAGCACCTTCAGCCGCTCCGCCGGGGCCGTGATCGCGCGCTGCACCCCGTCGATGGCGAAGCGAACGAGGAGGTCGAGAAAGAAGTCGACGCGAGAGGGGGGGGCAGCAAAGTCGTATTGTGGAAGAGCAGAAGGGGCCTCCCCTGATTGCGGCCAGGCATCGGCAGTCGTGGTGGACATTACTTCTCCCTTTGAGGCTTGGGTGATTCCTTGGGCGCCATTTCCAGTGGGAAAGGGCGAGACATGAGAGAGGAGGGAGGGAGGTTGGGGTTTGAATATCGATATCCATCCATCTCGATTTACAATCTTCTTATGAAGCGAAAAAATGTTCGTTGGTGAATTTTATTGAGCGTATCGCTCCGACCCTTTGCAAAAATGGATGTACACCCTTTTCCTCTCCTTAAATCGTCAAGGGTGCATTTGCGTTATTGTAGCCATCCTCGGCTCCAATGTAACTACCAAGATTCGATATTAATATGTATGTTTATCACACTACCGCAGCATAAAAAACCGTCGCCGAACAAATACGAAGCCCAACAAAACCATTTGGACCATCAGGTTGAATGAAATTCCATCGAATAGGCTCCTCCATCCCTCGTTGTGGAGAATATAGGATACACATGCCCACATGCTGCGGTACCGCAGCCCAGTTCGTCGAGATTGATAATTCTTTCCGTTTGCGGGTCTGTCTACTTGACCTTTAGAGATGTCCTCATGAACGTGAGATCCCTCGGAACTTGGAGTTGGCAGCGACAAGAGTGCCATGCGTCTCGAAACTACCAATAACGGCTGTCGTACGGTCGTTACTACCACAGCCACCGCGACGGAAAGAGAGATCTGTAGCACATCGCGAGTTGCATTCGGTGAGAGCAAGAGCCATGGGGCTAACTTGGGGCTTTCCTTCACAGCCTTCAGCGTTAGCGTCGCACATGCTTGAGTGAATTTGTTGAGCATAATGCTTGTAACGTGGTCGGCGAGATCTACCTCCCAGCTGTTGCGTATGATATCCCTCCAACTGCACCCAGCTCGGACGTGCCTCCAAAGCTGTGTGTACGTGAGGTCCTGATATTTGAACTGTTGACGCGGCTTAACTTCAGAATAAGACTTATTTTCCTCATCACCTCCATGAGCTTGTGTTTCCTCATCGATTTCATCGTGGCCACCGTGAGTGTTTTCCTCAACGACAATGACACTACCAGCCATATATGTTGTCATCAAAATCGTGCGCAGCGAGCGCAGAGGCCACCTGGCAGCCCAGACTAATGTCGGCATGACTAGCCACCAAAATACCTTGGAGAAAATTTCAGAGTCCAGTTCCTGCGTCAGCTCTGCACCCTTCGAGAATGGTAGGGAAGCGTCATACAAAAATGGTGTCGACACAGTTTTTGTGAGATGGCGAAGTAGCACCATCACGACAGCATTCTCCACGTTTGTGAGCACGGCTAGAGTCGCACTAAGACATGCACCTCTGAAAAATCCACGGGCACCTTCGCTGCGATATAGATGCGAAACTACCTCTTGAGCAGGAAATACAGATGTTGCAGCAGATGGTTTCCCTTTCTCATTGCTTTGTGGCCATCGCCCGTCGTTCTCGAGCTCCCGCCTGATGCACAACAAATAGCTGATACGCTTTAAAGGGAGAGAGGCGCAGTAGCGAAGCGCAAGCGAGGAGGCCGCGACGCATAGTCCCTTGATGGAGGTCCACGTTGTTCTTACGGAAGGGACTCCCCCGGCGCCCATCGAGCCTGCTTGGGCTTCTTCAAGGGTGAGAAAATAGTCAATTTCGTCTGGCTCATACGCGCCATCGTCGGAGGTATCATCCATGGTACGCAAAAGTTTCTTGTAATAATTATTGTTTTATCTTTGCGAAAGTTTGCACGTACATTCATACATTTTGGAAAAAGTCATTGAAGAGGAAACAAATAAGATGTGAAGAAGAAAGGAGAGGAATAAATGAAATAAGCAGCGTACACAGGATATTGCATTGACCTGTATTCTATGTTGTGGTTTACTGCAGAGTAGAAAGTCAGCTGAATATCGCCCTGGTCCAGCTTCATTCACATAGAGCAGAAAGGTAAATCATTACTCGGTATGTAGGGGGTTTTGTCCATCACTTTCCTTGATGTCGATTTCCTTGTCTCTACCGAGAAGCTCGTCGAGGACGAGTTCGATAAGCTGCACTTCACGACGTTGGAGATCCGAGCGCGAGGACGGGCCATTCCCGACGGATAGGCTCCTATTGGGCGTTCTGGCGGCCGAACCCTTCACGTCGTTTGCGTTGGGTATTGCGAAATCGTGCCTACTCATCGCGGCATGAGATGCCAAGGCCATGCGAACAGCAATGGTCATGTTATCCTCGGATTCGCGACTTTCTGCCAAAAGGTTATCCCCCTTCCCCAAGCTCTCTTTCTGCGAGCCTGTTGTAGAGGGCAGGGAGGATGCCAACACGGATTCGAATAGCGCGCTGTGCGGCGGAGATTTCCGCGCGACCGCCTCGATCAATCCCGGGCGCCTGCTTGCCATCGCCAGAGCCAATGCGGACTGCCAGCTTTCTGAGTACCAACGATCCTTCAGAAGCCGCCGCAGCACGGCTTCATTCTTTGCGAGATCAAGCGGGATCTCGGTCCCTGAGATGATCGTCGCGGGGTCTGGTGGCAAACCAGCGTCAGGGTGGGCGGGCCCAGCGGAAGGCCCGAGATTTTCAACGCCCCTACAGGGTGGTCGTTGCGTTTGCAAAAGACCCTCCCTCACGAGTGCGCACGCGCACGCGGCCGCTTCATCTGTGCCGTGGAGCCCCGCCACAAGCAGTTGCTCCACCATCTCCGCTGTCGGCGGCTCCTCATCACCTACCTTACACCTCCAATCCGCCCACAGCTCCATCACCAAACTATTAAGGTCGCGGCGCCGGGGGCTGCAGAGGGCATAGGCAACCTGGCGGAATATGTAGCCGTCTAGCTGTGTGTAGTCGAGCTGCTGATAGATCGTGAGCGCCTCTTGCCAACGTTGAGCACGAGCTAGCAAAGTCATCAGACGACCGATTTCACGTAATCCCAGGCAGGCTCGCGGGGAGCGATCCCTCGTTTCATTTGTCTGAGGAGTAGCTTGGGGAGCTGTTGACGTTGCATAGTGATGCCAGACCGACAGAGCCCCAACCCATGCGACTCTAGAGCCCGGCTGCGCTGCTTCACAGGCCGTGAGCGCCTTCCGTGCGGCGTGAAGGGGGTTCGTGATGACTTGTGGAATTAGCTCAAGCGCAGCTGCCCAGTCACCTTTATCGATGAGCCGGTTGATGTGGAATTTTGTCACCTGCATTTCGGTGCTTCTTTTACCTTTCTTTTGCGTGGCCTGATTACCCTGCGAGCATTGTGGAGTTTTTCCGGATGACGAGGGGCATGGGACCGCTGTCAACGTGGGAGACTCAGATAGTAGCAAAAAGGAGCGCACACTCACCTCGCACTCTAGGAAAGGCCACAGGGAATGCACGAGTGCTTGATAGAGGCGCAAACGGTCCTTTTTACAACAATCCCATTCACTAGCAGAGTTTCTGACAGGAAATACAAGATGCTTCTTGTCATATTGCCCATTATCCTTCCTGCTGTCGGAGTGTTGATCCTTGCTATTGTCCGCGCATGCCACCAACCATGATTTTAACGTATTTGTCACCAGCAGGAGAGCAGCTGGCAGACGTTGGAGTAGTGAAAAGGGTGGTTTGGAAAACAGAGAATTTGAAAGCGACTCACCTATGAGCATGTGATAGCGCTTTGCAGCGTCCTCTAAGCTTTCTTCCGCGTCGATCCAGAATAAAGCCAATGGGGATACCCTAGGAGACGCATGCTCCGCGCGGAGCTCTGTGCCTTGGTTAGACACAGCGCACTTCAGGGCTGCGCAGTTCACAACACCAACGCTAGGGAGCAATACGCCCTCTATCAGTACTTTCCATACGTCAGAAGAGTAACTCTGTGGTGTGTAACTATGAGTCATCTTGCGAGCAAGAGTGGAGATTCGCTCTATTCTACTGCCCTCAAATTCTTTATCAGCACCCGTTTTATTACACATCGATTTCCCCACAAAGTCACAGACGCTTTGGAGAAGACGAAATACTATTAGAACGGAGGTCGGGCACTGTGACGGCGTTTCTGTAGAAGCCGTGGTAAAGGGAGCAGACCTCAGGAATGCCGCCGACTCTGAGGCTGAAGTGGTTGACTCATAAGCGGGTACCACCTTTGAGGGTTGAAAGTACACCAACTCCTGCAGAAGCCATTTTATGAGGGTTTCAAGCACTGTACAACACGCTATCAAGACTTCTTTGTAGAGTGTCTCTTTAGCTTCTGCAGTCGGCAGATTATCTGTGTTAAAGAAGCAAATTAGACTATTATCGGTGATATTAGGTTGATTCTTTTCCCATACGTCATGCGTCTTGCAGGGATTTTCAGTTTGCCTTCCCGGGTTGTCATACAATTCACACAAATATGCTAGCTGGCATTCGCAGTGCAGCCACTCCGAAATGATTCGATACTTGGATATCCCATTTAATTTGATGCTCAAATGTTGAGATGAGGATCTGCCTGTATGATCTATATTCATCTTGCGCTCGCATATCGGGTTATGAGTCGTAGCGGCCGATGCTGTGCAGTTTTGAAGGTCCAAAAGAAGAAGCAAATCTTCCGCTAAACGGGGTTGGCTTTCGACGAGCAGAGCATAAATCGCGAGCTGCATAATAAGCGCCGACGAAAAGATCGGCATGCTTCGACTAACACGAATAATGCGCTCCCCGCGTCTGTTTGCACGTATGTTGTATTTCAGTGATAGCCTGTACGCATCCCACCATAATGCGAACGCATTACCACCCTGTCCATCCCAAAGATGTTGAGCTATTAATTCTTCAAGTTGCCTTGACATCATCAAAGGGGGAGACGACGATGCTCCATTAGTTTCTAGCACGTGTGGTGCGTCATGGCACCAGTTGGACGCGGCAGTATATGATGCACATGCACCCATGCTCAGTTGAGGTCTAAAGATGCTTTGAATACCTTCGTTTTGGAATGAGACAGTTCCACCATTAGCACTATCACTGCTTTCCTGGATCTCATGCTTCTTGGTGCTTAAGTTTATTTTACCTGAAGAGGAACACCCTCGACGTGATGGAAGTAGAGTCCTATGCCAAGTTGTGGCTGATACTAGGCTCAAGCCCCGAGGTACCAAACAACTAGCTCGAAAGAGTAAGAAAGCATGGGAGAAATAGAAGTTCCCCCTGCGACATTGCATCGCTATGGAAGAAATGAATAAAGATACTGAGAAAAAAAAGCCAGTGAAATGTCTCAACACAGAGGCATGCCCCTTTTGGGTAAATAAAGGCTCCACAACACCATGTACATATGACCACTTTACCATAGCACTAAGGTATAAAGAAAGTCGTAGAAATATCACTCCCTTTCATTTAATAATACATACATACTGAAGAGTTACATGAATACATCCATATATAGATGGATGGTTGTGTACAAATGAATCATCAACAACAATGGGGGTGATGAGGATAAGCGACATTTCTTCATATTGTTATCATCTCGATTTGGAGAGAAATAAATGAAGAAGTAGTAGTGTGATAATAGATAATATTGAGGGTATACATCAAATAGTGTACATGTCGCCCCCCTTTTTTTATTTTGATAGCATTATACCATTTTTTGCTTCACTAGTGAATGTTTCCCATCACGTATCCTGGGTAAAGTAGATTTCAATGAATTCATCGTCGAGAGTGCGGCCTCTGACCCTATGGTTTGCTTTAGATTAACACGATCGTAAGTCGCGAGACTTGGCAGATTTTCCTCAGTTAAGTTTAATGCACCACCCTTTCGGGGCTCTGCTGTGCTTAGGCCTGTTGTCCAGGGGGCGTAGGTCGGCATGGACCACTTTGTGTGAGTATGCCACGTTCGGAACGGTCTGCGTCCGCCGTCGATGCGACACGGGCTGTATGGATCTGGAATCCATTCCATGTCTCCGGCCAGAATGATTCCCGCGTTGGGATGTTTGCCTGCGTAGAAAGGTAAGACATCCTTTTTCTTTTTCTTCCGATCTGCCGAGCCCTGTGGCATCCACTTTGGGTAGTCATGTGGCACAGGACCCGTGCGGAAGTAATTTCGCCTGCCACAACCTATCTTATCGTTATACGGATCGGGGATATGCTCCGTTGGGAGACCCAAGTACTCATGGCGACCACCAGCTTTCATTCCACTAGGGCTGCCCCCTCCCTGAACCTTACCCGACTCCGCAGCTTTGTAGTGCTTAGCATCGCAGTCCACGGGTTCACCTTCCGGCATGTATGGGTATTCAGAGAAAAGACCACGTTTAAGGGGGTTCTTTTTCGTGAAGACGGCTCTATGCCGTGGAACGGTGGTGGCCTCGGGAGTGGGGCGTCCAGCTTCTGTTTCCAGTGGTATGTTCCCCCAACCAGCGAGGGCTGTACCACCACTAAGCGCGAAATCCATCCGATCACCATTAGCGCGATTGTTGAGGCATTTTGGTTCGATTGGCACCGCATAGGGACCGCCTCCCCAATTTTCGTACTGAAACTGACCTCCAGCACGAAGGTCGTGAAAGGGGCAGCTCTCGCGCGCGAGGTGGTCGGCTTCACAATCGTAAAGGTGGTGCCAGTTCGTCCAGTGCCGACGGTTATCCCAGTTCTTTGGGCGGAGGTTATGAATCGTTTCAAACCGCCCCTCGGTCATTTTCACAAGCTAATTTGCTTTATCTAAGGCCTATAGTCCTCAATTTATTTTCATAAAGTATGCTTCAACTTTTTTTGAGTTCCTTCAGATTCACACAGTGTAGTGTTATGGGCCCCTTGGGAAAGGCAGATAAATTATATGGAATAAAGTAGGTTGAGACAAGCATAGCAATGAATAAATCAAACGTGATATGTTTAGCATAATGGTAGATACATTAGAGAAGAATAAATTCCTTGTATACAAGAAGTATCGCGCCATAGGGAGGTAACACATCGGCTTTGCAAACTTCACTTTTTTCCCCATTTATGCAAGCCTCCTCTATCGGAAACCTTTTCCCTCTTGCAAAAAGTGTCCGGACATAGGTTGATTTGTTGTGAAAGCTGTACCTATTTTGTCTTCTGAGTCTTCAATCTTCATTGATCGCATCGACAGCGAATCCTTCGCCGATGCCAGGGGCTTATACTCTTGGATAACTACACCAAACCGCTTTTCGAAGGCGAATTCTTCAAACTGGAATATATAGTCGCTAAATGCATCACCGATAATTCCCTCATGCAGGCAGAAATACTGCAGCTGGGAGTCATGCATAGGTCGAAAGCTTTCAATGTACTCGGTCTGCCCGTTAATCATTTGTATGCGCCGGTAGCGGTCCAGCTCAATGCCAAAGTAGTCGAGTGTCTTTCCAGCGATACGAGTGGCATGACGCTTTAGATCTTGATTAGACCAATGGGCCATACGCTTTTGATCGAATTTGCCATAATAGTCAATTGCATACTCTGTGCCAGATCCAAAGATACCTAGTACCTTCTCACCCATGCTAGCGAGCTGCGAGTCTGTAGGAGGTTTGCCAGTATACAAGGCGTTGTGCAAGCAAAGACTAGAGCAAAGGGAGGGAATACACTGTGCGAGTGCACGGTGAACCCAAATAGCCAACATATCTGGAAATGTATCATTAATCACATCAGAGCTCAGGATGGCAAACGGGCTATGGAGTACCCACCGCGGGTTGACAATAGGGTTTTTGGTACCGTAGGTTTGTATTTCAAGGGGGTTGTCAATCGGTTCATGTTCGCGTATCACAGGATCAGAAAAATGTCCACATTTCCTAAGCCATTGAAAAAGCTGTAAAGTTCGTTTAACATTCTGATAAACTGGAGTCTGATCTTCCTCGAGACATTCTAAAAGGTATTCATCCAGCCCATGCAGAAGACCCCAGGCATAGCACTGCGGGGTCATTAGGTGTAAAGTCAAATCATCGTCTATTTGATTCGCTTTCAGCAAGCGCACACAACTGAAGTCGGGGTTGATAGACCCAAATCCCCTGAATCTTTTATTAAACTCATCCAGACGCTGTGATTCAACCATAAGAGAAGGCGATAGTGTGTCATACTGACGTGGAGCCAAAAAGAGTCCAGAGCGTGAAAGCACATGCGCAGCAAAATGACCGTTTGATCTCGGAATACCTATCACAATCAGGGGCTTCGTGATGGATTCTTTTTCGATTTCACTACCATTTAAACGAAATACTTCATCAATAGCCAAACGCTGGGAAAGGGCAGTAACAAGGCGCGCTCGAAGCAACCTTCCTCCATAGTTGCTAGTCGTCTTTTCAGAACAGGCTTTACATAACTTTTTCCAAAATCGATAATTTTCTAGCTGTGTCTCAGGATTCTGCAGGAAAGCAATATTGGCGGCTGTACACGCCTCCAAAAGAACAGATTCCAACGTGTACGAGTCAGGGGACACCTTCTTGCTAGAGAGGTCAAACACGCGTCGCAGCAATGAACCACCACGCACGATATCCCGCACGCCAGACATCGACCGCTTACCGAACATTTTTACGTTTTCTGCTGTTTTACCTTGTTTGCACCGCACCTACATTTAAACAAAGAGCATGCTAAATTAAAGAAGAAAGGTTCACATTCACAAAGAGTAAATTATCATATTTTGTCTTTTTCACTACCTATTCGTCCAAAAGCTCACTAGTATTTCTTTTTTTCGGGGGAGTAAAATAGTAAGGAATCCTATGTATCATTCATTTTTAAGATTTAATCGTCACATGCATTTAATGATGCATATATTAGTAGTGTGTTGTTTATGATAACGCACAGGTTTTAGAATTCATAAAGACTTGCGGCAAGATATCGCAACTTAGATTAATACTTCTGAGTATGCAAGGCAGACTATTAACAATGACAACAACTAGTTGCACTGAATACATGCCAGGTATAACTAGGGTGGTTAATATGTATATGATGCTTTCGTATATCTATTCACTGGAGTTACCAATCGCATCCATATCTTGTCACTGTAATCGATATGTTCTTAGTAGTAAAGCTAGTTGAATTTAGACGACCTATGAAACCTCATATAATATTTATCAGGGTCTATACTCCCACAAAAAAAAATCGTGAGAAGTGACATAACAAGAGTGACGCTATGCAAAATATTATAAATGCATGTTGAGAGTGTTGTGAATCTCGTATAATGGATGAAAAAAGTTCAATACGAATGAACTAAGCCAGTCAGTAGAATTCAATACTCAACTCTCAGCATGATCGGGGATCATGTTCCAGTTAAAGGAATAACAAGACATTAAGGGGATCCATGAACGATTAGATACAAGTTTCCAGGTGTATTTTGCCTTTGGCAGGATAGAAGTTCGTTGTTGTCATTTGATTAGCTAATAGTCTGCTGCACGCATATTATGTAAGAATAATTTAAAAAAGTGTAATGCTAAGGTAAAGTGATACAGGAAAAAGAAATATGAAGGGTCTAGACTGAAAAAATATTCAGATAAACAGTTGAGTAATTTCAGTATGATCTGGTATGCTATCCATTAACTTAACAAGAAATATCCAGCTTAACCGCGGCTTCTTTTTTTTTTTTGAAACGATAAGAGGACAAGATTTAACCGGAATATCATGACGGATTTCTAAGACCGACTACAGTAGAATGGAGGTATGAAAAAAACACAGAGTACGCTTTCCACATTATAAGGAATCATGTCTTAAAGAAACCACAGTTCCAAATGCACTGATAAATTTTGGTGCATTTTACGAGTGAAGATACTCCAGCCTTTAGAACATTAGTTTTGAATGTTAACGGTGCGAAGATGATACTTATATGATCAAGCTAACCATAACTCGTAGTCCTTTTCTTCAAAAAATTTACGGAGCAATCCGAATGTTTCTCTTTTCTGAAAGCTTCGGCAATCGAGTCCAAGTATTTCCCATCATCAAGGGTTTGTATATGTACCAGATGGATTCGACAAGTGAATGCCTAATATTGCAATAGATGCTTCATTTGGGATGTTTTGAATGAGGAAAATAAAACTACCCATTTGCCGCACTTATTGCAACAGAAAATATCCACTAGCTTCCACACATTGCACAATAAACCACGTCGATTTTATGTGTAATTGCCAATCCTTTTAGACAACTGTTTTCCCTTACCACTTCAGTATTTTTCCTTAAGAATTGTTAACGAAACCCCTTGCTATGTATGCATACATTATCCACTGTTAGTGAAAACGTGGATAAAGCGAAGGTGCAAGACTTTTTTGACAACTATTCTGCCTCTGTTAAACGTTTATCAGGTGCTATACCTACACAATAACATTCAGTACACCAATGTGATATGTAAATCACGGAGAAGTATTGGACAAAAGGACTCTTCCGCATTATAAGACAGAGGATTTCTGCTTATTTAAGAAGTAATATACTTCTTAAATGCTTCGTTTCTCATCCAGGGCTAATGATTTCATAGACTAACTCTACAGAAAAGCCTCGTTTTTTGAATTTAGAGTTATTCTAATTTCTAGAATATTGTATCGGCTATTGACATTAGAAGATTTTTAGTTTCATTTTTGTTAAAAGAAGTATCTCCTAATACAGAAGTCATGGATAGAGAATAAAGAGCAGCAACTTTTGCCCTTTTGGTAAACCAGGGAAAACTGAAACTGCTTTCACCCATATGCGGCCCAGATGAGAGCGGAACACCTTGGATAGATGTGCGCATAAAGACCATGTTGTTCGTGTACTTATTGCCACAATCGGATGTTTTTCTTACATCCGTCGGTATGAAATGACTCAGTTTTTTGGAATTCAAAATGTTTCTAATTGGTTCCATAATATTCGCAAAGTTTTCAACGCGTTCCATTACATGGGCAGCCGTATCGGTAAACTGCGCAAAGTTAAGCATCGTATAAGGAATATTAGAGACCGAGTATTCCAGTGCAACCGCATTTGGCCACTGTTCAAGAAAAGGATTTAGATAAGATAGTTTGTAGGTAATGGAATCTACAGCAACTTCTTTTACCTCCGGAAGACGATATCGGCCGCTAAGGTAGTTATCTTCGTTTTCTTGGATCATACGGAACAAGCTTTCCTTGTTATATTTCTTGAGGAGTTCATTCTGAACATACGCGTTACTTTCCCTAACGATAAATTCCACTAAAATAATGGGAAAACCTCGATTGAACATTTTTGAAATGGCGGAGTCCGTAACATTTTGGGTTTTACTATATGCTTTCAAGGCACTTAAAAGAGTAAGGTTGGTGAAACCGGTTTCTGGAACGAACCTGACTGCTTCCTTTAAGATTCCCTGCTGGAGGTTAAAAAGTTTAGGGCTTAGACGACCTGACATCTCTTATAAATAGAAAGGAGTAAAGCGGAATTTTTTATTAGGGGCAGAGCGCCCTTACATGCATCTTTTCATTAGGGTCTCAGAGGCCGCTTCCGCCCTACGAAAGAGAATAGGCGGGAAGCAGCCAGAACTGGTATCAAAAATCTTCTAGCGTTTTTGACTACTAGTATAAAGTAATAGCATGCCTGAAAACACCCCCTTTCTCGAGGGTCCGGCAGCATTTCCGCGATTGAGGTTAGGCTTATTATTGGCCTGCATTTTATATCAACCAATTGGAAAGCGCCGCCAGTCGAAAGTGATGGCGCGTGTGTGCAGGCGCCGAAGTCTCTAATGCGAGTCGACCGCCCGCCCCCACGTTATTTTACAAAAATTTCCCGTACCACACAAGTGCAAAAAATGCGTTCTGGCTGGTGGGCGAGTAGCCTTAATTATTTTTTGATGGGAACCCAATAGTCTAGAATCAGCTTCGGAGGGTTTTTTATATTTATTCTGTGGAAATACGGGCCTAATGAAGCTAGGCTCTGACATGCGAGAGTGCGTTTTTACGTGTTTATGCTTAACGATTTCTACCGCATTTTTTTTTAGCACTCGTGAATATAGCTGTATTTGGGAAGTGGTATGGGTGAGCATAGGCCTTTTAACAATGAAAAAAAATTACGTTAATGGAGGCATGTCTTTTGGCATACTTGCCCCCACTTTTTTTGAGTTTTTGGGTAAAATATTTGTTTAATGACTTCGAATCGCAGAATGTGGAGTACATCGCAACACACACATTTGGGAGCTTGCATGGGAACGAAACAAAAGCGTATTTCGAATTTTATGTTCTTTTCTTTTAATTTGCGTATTTTTTTTTTGATCCATCGTACATACCATGGACATGTTATGCAAAACACATATCACCTTTGAATTTAGTTTACTAACTGTCAGCGGTGCTAAATTTTGCTTATAATATATTGCTATTTCAGAGCTACTGAAAGCTTGTGAATGCAGTACAACAAAAGCAAGATATACCACTAGACAAACTAGTGCACTTTAAGTAAATTTTATTTACATTAGGAAATTTACATTTAAATTAACTTGCTACAAAATTTTTAGGATGATGTTCTATGATAATCATATCATGATCTATTTCTTTAGGGTCCATAAGTTTAGGCCTGTAAGACATTTAAAGGCAGGCTCCTTATTATAAAGGGTATTATTTCGTTTATCTACGCTGTTAGAACATATTTGATGGATTATGGTGTACAGTACCTATATTCTTCCTTTCATTGTTGTTTTAAAATGCGCCATCCCCTTTTAGCCCTACTGTTCTTAAGAGAATGAAAATTTTTTTCCGACTTGGGTGGATTACTTCAGCTTCTTCGTACAACTCTTGTGTTATTAATTTTGATAATTTGCAGATTATGCGTCTGTTCTAATTTTTTCCTCGGCATAATATGCAGATGACTATAAATTGTTCACGATGCCAATTAAAGTATCAATGCAAAACATGATAAGTGGGAATTAAATACCTATAGTTTCCCTTTTCCCCTTTGACTGCATATTTTTTTTTTTAATAAACTTAATATCAAGATTGAGTTGCATAAAAAGAACTCCTAAAATTATCGTTGACTGCATTTTTTAAAAAATTGGTTCGTATAAAAATCGAAGCCTTCATACAAAACTCAAGCACATTGAGATATTGTTAGCAGCCTATCAATAAATGATCTTATGTGAAATTCTTAAACTAAGGCATCTTTCTGTATTGTGATAATTGAGTTTTAGGAAAGGTGTTCGTTTATAAATTCACACTGAAAAATTTTCTTTCCATAATTATAGATCGTTTTTTTCTGCGTTCCTTTTTTTCTTATTATGTCTTATTTTACATTACGTTGGGCTTCAAATATTTTGAGTACAACAGAAGTGAATGAACACAGGAAGCTATGCACATATATGATAAATAATATAATTGCCCCTGTTATTATTTAAACATTTTTTCAAAGGCAGACATTATGTAACCGCTGTGGTGCTGATTACGTAGAAAAAAAGGACGGAATCTGAATACCTAAAGACAAACATTAGACTTGCTTGATATATATATTATTAACGTGCAGTGAATTTTATCTATGGATGAGTGTTCTGAAGGCGCATCAATATATATATAAATATATTTATTTATTTATTTATTTCTATATATATATATATATTTAAATAGAAATCTGAACTAGTACTTGTGAGAACGTTTTTTGTAATCATTTTAGATTAGATGCTCAATCTGTGTTTTCTTTATTAATTGAAGTATCATCATGTACATAATTTAACTCTTCGCGTTGTTTTTCTTGAAAGCTTGAGGTGAAAGGAAATAGAAGAAACCAGCAAAGACGACCTTGTCCAAAAAGTAAGACATTATAATAAAAATACTAATAGTAAAGATAAAGAATAAAAAGAAAACATATTAGTACTGGAGTAGATACAAGACATTCTACTACTGTGATACCTACGCTGTCAGTTTCGCGAACAACTTTGAACATGATCGAAGAAGGTAATGCTGAACAGCAAAATAGTGCAATCATGAAGGCGCGATTAACGATGTCATCATCTTTCTTGCCATCTTCACAACGGACCACTTTTCCCATGGAGATCAAGAAGGTTGGCTGCATTTCTGCGGCTAACTCTAAGAGTAATGAGGGTGGTGCTTTGACACCAGATTCTATAATCGAGGAGCTTAAATCCCTAGCTAAATCAATGCTTGATGCTACAAATGCGGCTCGAAGCCGTGCAAACGCGCTTGAGAATCGTCGTTCCTATGAGGCTCTTATGAATGCTATTGAAAAGCGAGCCAAGCCCACTTCTGGAAATGACATGAAAGCATCGGGAAGTATCACCAAAGTGATGGATAGCACTATTATGGAGGTACATCCCAACACTGATAAGGATGGCAGGACGTCGGATTTATTTTCTTCCATGATGGGGTTTCAGAAATTATCGAGCACTACTGAAGCAACAGGCAAGGCAAACGTGCTTCAAACAATGCAGAAGAATAGCCATGCACCATTTCACATAGACTCGATGGTAGATACAAATAAAAATATATGGGAGTTTGAAGCTGAACATATTACAGATATACCTGCTTCGCTAAGCCAACAACATCCAAACAATAGGCATGCAGAAACAGAGGGGCAACATATGAATGATGAAAATATTCAAAATGATGGCAGTGCTGGTATATTACCAGTTACTACGCAAGATAGCCACAGTGAGCCCCAGTTACTTGTAAATAAAACACATACACTCATCATGGACGATATCAGCGATACTGACGAAGGGGATGTAAATGTATATAATGGGGTCAAGACTCAGACCTTTTTCAAATCTACTGATCCAGACACTTATCGGGATATTGTGTCTTCGACGTGGAAGCCCGAGTGCCTACTGCGCGCTGAGGATGGAACCACATATCCATATATCAAAAGTGAAAGTGATAAGAATGGCCATCGCTCCCACCGTGATGTTGAGGACGAAATCAATCCTGAGAGAGATAACGATAGCAATGGAGGCAGCAGTGATATTTGCAATGAGAATGACAAATACTCGAAGAATGATGGAGGCCATGCAGTGGGTAGCATCGAGAAGTCAAATCAGAACTCAAATAAAAAACTTAAACGAGTATTTCGAATCCCAGCTTTCCCCTTTGGAGGAGGTATCACTGATGAGCAGGCCAATGAGATGAGCCAGATGTTCAAGAAATGCATTTCATATGGCTGCAATCACTATCATCATAGCTCTGAAAGCAAGAGGAAATCATATGATAAATTACCAAAATATATATCGAAGGAAGATTTTGATGCACACAATTACACCGAAGTTCCCTGTTATGCAGAAATAAAGCCTTTCAAACCCGTTTCACCTTTTGAATTTGTTGTTGAGGTTGAGCATGACGTCTTATTCGATGTACTTCGTGCTCGCGAGCAAAGACGTGAAGCTTTTCGTCGACTAGCCAAGCAAGGTCTTGCTCCTGTTACGATGGGAACTTTCAATCTGCGCGTCATCATGGATCCTACAAAGACTGGCTTCGAGGACGAAAAAACTTTTCCTATTGTACGAGGTAAAGTTATTGCGGATCGCTATAAGATTGTCCAGCTGCTTGGAAAGGCCACTTTCAGCCGTGCCGTGTGTTGCTATGACCTACACCACCCGATTTACGAAGATGATACGGATGATATCGGTAAGGGAGTAAACGTTGGGGATGGTACCGATGGGGTTATTGTTGACCAGGATGCTTGCAAAGATGGAAGCACAATGAGTTCGACTAACGGCGACGATAGTTCAACGATAAAAGAGCACACCGCATCGAAAAAGGAGGGCCAGCGTAAGGTGATTGGCTATGCTGAGGTCTGTTTAAAAATTATTAATAACACCAAGGACTTTTTTGACCAATCCCTTGATGAGATTCGGCTTCTGACGCTTCTCAACTCGCAAAGAGATCCTGATGAGGTTCACATTGTCCGACTTATAGACGCTTTTTACTACAAAGAGCACACCATGCTCGTGACAGAGCTCCTTTTGGATAACCTGTACGAGTACAACAAGTATAACCGTGAGGAAGAGGATGAAATTTACTTTACCTTACCACGTATTCGGCGCATTGCCCGACAAATCGTCGAGGCACTTGCTTACGTTCATAGTCTCAACCTCATTCACGCTGACCTGAAGCCTGAGAACATCCTTTTTGTTTCTCACCGGCGGTGTATTGTGAAGGTGATCGACTTCGGCAGTAGTTGCTTCATTAGCGATCATTTAAGTTCCTACATACAGAGCCGCAGCTACCGCGCGCCCGAGGTAATTTTTGGCTGCGATTACGACGGCCGGATTGATGTGTGGTCTCTCGGCGCGATTCTTTTTGAGTTAGTAACTAGTGAGGTTCTCTTTTCATCTGAAACGGCGCCGGAGATGCTTGCGCGTATTGTATACGTGTGTGGAATGCCGTTTCCAAGGCAGATGCTCTGGGAGGGGCGACATACCTGTGACTTCATCAACAAGTTCGGCTGTATTTATGAGATGGGTAGTAGCAAAGGTCATGGCAACCCTGACGGCTTCGATGTCGAAGGCGGTGACAGTGGAGAAGAGGAGCCCTATTATGTGCATACACCCGTTATTGCAGCCTCCAGCGGGACCAAAGCTTCCAAGAGGGTTTCTGGTTCTAGAACACAGAAAAAAGATGAGCTGAAAACTAGCAAAGAATTAAAGGACGATAGAAATAATGATAGTAGGCTTGATTCAATAAGCTCAGGCAGTGCTTCAGAATCTGAGGGAGGGAGTTCTCCCGCCTCATCGCCAGTTGGGGGCCCATACAGCGTGTTGCGACGGAAGTTAGCTGATTTTGGCATGACAAACGAATCTTTTCTTTCTTTCGTGGAGGCATGCCTTACACTGGACCACAAAAAGCGGCCTACGAGTGCACAGCTGCTCACTCATGAATTTATAGCTAACGAAAAGGTTTAAGGCGTTACGCTATACCAGATGTGGCAATGTGTGTGTGTGTATGATAGGGAATCTGACCCTTCTACCTTTCATGTAATGGTTGTTAAGATTATTCTAGTTTATATGTTCTCGTTCCTTATCTTCTTTCAATTTTAAATTGACGGACTGTTGCACTCTAAGCAAATTCAGAAAGAGAACGTGCTGTTGCACAGGGTCTCAATAAACTCAGCATGGTGGCGTTATTTCAACGCTTGGATTACATTTGAACGGACAGGTGGGGCCTTTCCAATTTTTTCGTTAGCTTTTTCTTCATAAAATGGTAAACTTAGACAGAGCTCGAAAACTTCTTTTGTTGTTTTCTCGCTGGTGTCTAGCGATCTTCTTTAGAAGTCTTTTTCTTTGCCCACAGAACGTCCCAGCCCATATCTGGTGCTGGGGCCGGAGTGAAGGAGCTTTTCAATTTTTGACACCTACATCGTTCGACCCTTAGCCCTCCCTTCCCCCCTTTTGAAATTTAACCTTTTTCTTCCTGAATTGATTTAGCGTGGTGTTATTTCCGTTTTACTGGTTGAAAAGGAGACAGTTTAAATGATGCACATACAATGAATATCATCAATATATACGCGTAAATCCTGTTTTACTGTTATTTGTCTTCCTTTCTCCATTATCAAGGGTTCTGTTTTGGTATATATCCAGAGTTCCAAGGGATTTTCTTTTTTCTGTACCTTTTAAATTATCAGGCATCTATTTCTTTTCTTTTCGACATTCCTTCAAGGGATCACTTATTCATTCAGGGAAGTAAATTCCATCGGTTTCAGGTTAAGAAGGAGTCACTCGAACATTATATATACTTGAAAGGAAAGAGAAGAGTGTGTGCATGAATAGACCGGAGGGGGAGGATCAATATTCGTATATACTAGTGTACATATTCATCTGTTCTTAGGTGTTTCTTAATTTGTGTAATTATTCACTGATGGAAAGGATTGACTCACTCTGATTTTAATAAAAGGATTCCCCTACGAATAAAATTTTTCCCACTTCATTTTTTTATCTCCTCTACGCATTCGGGCTCTTTTAGCGATTTTTTGTTATTGTTTATCTCTAGTGTTCATATGATCTTGTTTCTCTAAGGTTTGCGATATGTATACCGTCACAACCGTGCTTTTTTTTTAGTGATCTGCATTTATTCATATACATGCTTTTTCCTTTTATACATTTTATACATAAAATATGAGATGCTGAAACGGGTGATTGATGCTGACTTTACCCTCCGGTAAAGAATATGAAAACGGAACGGAACAAAGTAATATATTAATGCAATTTATTCATTCTCTGGATGCAGTGTGATAAGCAAGTGTATACTATGGGATTACTATTTTATTTTATGCTATTTATCGTTCCCTTTTCACCTTACTGTATATCAAAGACGCACTTTGATTGGTGTTATCGGAGTAATCCAGGGAAAAGTGTAATGGTCGATATTTTAACTCCCTGTTTTTCATCATAACTTTAGTTTGATCATTAATCACACGGAGCTGAAATGAGGCTGTATCTGGTGGCCAGATGAATGTAAACAGTGTTCAGTCGAAGTGTTTGATCCCCTTTGGATGGCCTCTGTGGAAGCCCTCTCAAATGTCCTACCAGTACCACTAACCAAGCTCACATCCCTCCGCCGATAACGGGAAGGCGTGCAGGCACTTTGCTTCGTTGTAAAATGGCTACTAGTTCGCGGCATCACGAAAAGGTGGCCGGCATATACCGCGGACGTAGCTGAAATGCGTATCTAGGAACATCATTCAGCGATACCACGTTGGCCTGTTTGTATGAGCGCGACCTACGCCTTTTTCCTTTTTTTCTTTCCACTGCGATCTCCATAATGCTCGAGGGGTTACTGCGTATGGCACAGGCAGCCAACGTCTTAACAAAATGCAATTCGACTGCACTTATGCATGCGCGGACTATGATGATCAGTGCACATTCTCTTTGAGTTCCTTGTTGCAGAGACCATATCCGCCATTCAATAGTCTAAAGTATTGCTGAGCTGTTGGTGGCGTCTGTGGGTGGCATATTTTCTCAGGCGTGTAAAGGGAGCGGTGTATGGAGAGCACATTTCCGGAGTATGCCATTAGTCATTAAACCCTTTCTATTTTTTCCAAAGAAAAACACAAGTTCCCTGGAGCATGCATAGCAAGCGTCACACGTATGACTGGCACATTCAGAAGAAGAATGAAATATTTCAATAAAACAAAGTAAAAAAACTTGCCATTTTTCAACTGTCAGACGTTTTGCTATGCTACTGTGGATAATGCTTAGCTGAGGGGGATTGAAGGGTAAGTGAAGGTATGCTGCTTCTATGGGGAAGAATGTACTCGATTTTCTCACGTCCCCTTTCACTACAATTTTGAGTTTTTTTTTACCCACAATCGTTTTCGCAACGGTCTTTTTCTATAAGCTTGACGTTGTTAAGAATTTCAGCGCTTCCGTTATGCCATTTTCAACAGATAACAAAATCAGTGGGCAAGCCATTACGGCGAATAACATAACAGTTCTCATCAAGTTCTTGATAAGCCATTGCCTCTCATATGGGGTTGTAGTCGGCGCCTCTGTTCTAAAATTACCTCAAATTTTGAATGTTTACCGGAGTCGAAGCGCGTCGGGGATTTCGATCACAGCAAATTATATAGAACTGTTTGCTTATGTTATTTCCACAAGTTGGGGGGTTGTGCAGAAGCTTCATTTTCGAGATTTCGGTGAGAATGGGTTGATTTTGCTCCAGTTAATTGCATTAATAGTAATGGTGGCAAAGCTGCAGGGAAGGACGCATGCCGCGTGTGTCGTTCTCGCAATGAATTTGATTTTGTTCAGTGCATTTTCGAAAGGCTATGTTTCGCATTCAGTTCACGAATTCCTTCTGAGCAGCCTCATCCTTCTGAATGTCTGTAGCCGCGTCCCGCAAATTTTTCTGAATTATAAGAACCAGTCTACAGGGCAGCTTTCTTTCCTTACTTTTTTTCTCGCGTTTGGAGGTGGTGTGGCGCGCGTGATGACAACGATGCTGAATGTGCCGTGGAAGAAGGGTAAGCTCATTATGTTGTGTCAGTTCAGTATGGCTGCGCTTCTCAACCTTGTCGTTATAACTCAAATCCTTTATTATAGCTACAGGAAGAAAGACAAGCATGCCGTGAAACGTAAATGACGCTCTGTCGACTTAAAGAGTTAAACGTGAACTATATAAACCTTTTTCTAACTCTATCATTATATATATATATATATGCATGTATATATATATGTATATTTGATTAGTTGGCACATAGCTTTATTTAATGATGATTGGTCTGGCAAAGTGTCGAGGACGTGATCTGGAGGTCATAAGGCGCGAATTGGGAGCCATGGTTTTAGCAAAATGGAGTAAATAAAATTATTTATACGCGCGATGGAAGTAGATTAATACTATTAGGAGGCCATCTTTCTTGAGGAACGAAACAGTCCACTTACCGATTCCCTGAGTACTTTTTTCACTTCTCTTAGGGTGACCCAACCAAGATTGTAGTACTTGCCTTCCTTGTTGTTATCGAATCAAAAGAGAATTTTAAACTTAAAAAAGTGAGAAGTTACTACTTTGATGCTTTTTGTCGTATTGTGTCTTGCTCAATTTCTGTCTTTTCTATTAATTTAACTTCATTCCAATTCACATTTGTTTTCTTCCAAAGGGGTCTAGTGAAAATATTTATTCCCCCTTATTCTCAATACATATTGAAGTCTTATCCATAAGCATTTAATCAAACCGAATCTATACGAGTATATTTATAAGTTTCAGAATAATAATGCCTGCATGCACCCCCCGTTCAGCACACAAGGATCAAGCGAAGGAAGCCGAACCAATAACAGAAACCGAAAAGGTCCATGTAGCTATACGCGTTAGACCGCTTAACAAGCGTGAAAGGATCAGCAAGAAACCTATCTGCCTGAGCGTGAATGACTCTACCAAACAGCTATCCATTGTCGAGGGTGTCAAACTGGAGTTAGGCGAAGTCCCACCGTTCTCAGATGGACCATCTGAGAAGATCTCCCGAACTACTTTTCAGTTCGACAATATATTTTGGTCTCTGAAACCAAGCGAGGAGAATTCCGGGATGAGCCCGGCGACGCAGGAGGATGTCTTCAATGAGATCGGCATCCCTCTAGTAAACCACGCATTTCGGGGGTTCAATTCGTGTTTGTTCGCGTACGGTCAGACAGGAAGTGGGAAGACTTACACGATGATGGGTGCGGACGTCGCTGTGCTTGAGGGTAATGAAGGCAGGGGTGTGGCGCCGCGAATCTTTCAGGAAATCTTTCAGCGGAAGTCTGAGATTGAGTCAACTGAGGGTAATGCCTCGATTTGGACTGTGGAGGTGGGGTATGTCGAGGTGTACAACGAACGTGTATCCGATCTGCTTGCGAAGCGGCCAAAGCCCGGTGAGGAGGTGTTTGTGGAGGTGCGTGAGCACCCGAGCCGCGGGGTGTTCTTAGAGGGCCAGCGACTTGTTCCCGCGAAAAGTTTTAATGACGTGATAAAATGTGTGGAATCTGGCAACGTGGTCCGCCACACCGCGTCGACAAAGATGAACAACCGGAGCAGCCGCAGCCACGCGATCATTATGGTGCTTCTGAAAGAGGAACGCATGATGACAACGAAAAATCAAACGTCGATCCGGACAGCGGGGAAGAGCAGCCGAATGAATCTTGTCGATCTCGCCGGCTCTGAGCGTGTTTCGCAGTCCGAGGTCGAAGGCACACGCTTCACGGAGGCTACGCATATTAACCTCTCCTTGTCGACTCTCGGGCGTGTCATCGACATCCTCGCGGATATGGCAACCAAAGGCAACAAAACACGCTACACAACGGCCCCGTTCCGCGATGCCAAGCTAACTTTCATCCTGAAAGACTCCCTTGGGGGCAACTCGAAGACGATGATGGTGGCGGCGGTGAGCCCGAGCGCGCTGAACTACGAGGAGACTCTCGGCACGCTTCGATACGCGTCTCGTGCGCGTGATATTGTGAATGTCGCGAAAGTCAACGAGGATCCCCGTGCACGGCGTATCCGTCAGCTGGAGGATGAAGTGTCGGAGATGCGCAGGGCGCTCGCCGGGGCCGATCCTTCGTACGTCGCTCAGTTGGAGGAGAAGATTGCGCTGATTGAGTCCGAGGCGCAGAACCGTGCCGCCGACCTTCAGGCGTTAGAGAAGGAACGTGAAGCGAACCAACTTCGGGAGCGAATGCTGAAGGCAACAGAAGCGGAGCGGTCTGAGCTTCAGATGCAGGCGGATGTGCTGAAGCAGCAGGTGGCAGACAGCCGTCGGCAGGCCGCTGAGATGCTGGAGCAGAATTTACGTCTAAAAGAGGAGCAGGCTAAGCGGGAGCGAAAATTGCTTGAAGATGTTGAGCGCGCCCAGGAAGCCGTGCGCCTGAAGGAAGAGACCCTTGCCCAAGCGAAGAGGGATTTAGCTCGTGAACGCACCGAGAGGGAGAAGGCGATGCGCTTTATTCAGCACTACAAGGAAAAGCTAGAGGATGCACTGTTCCATTCCGAGCGGAGCGCCGCAGAAAGGATTGCGTTGGAGGAGGCAAATACTACTCTAAACCTCAAACTGAAGGAGCTCGAGGAGGAGCAGGCGCAGTACGTCAACGGGTTAGTGAAGAAGCTGGAGGACTGTGAGAATCAGGCAGCACTAAGTCCAGCACGGTACGTCTTACAGATCGGAGAAAGTGAAACACGGCATGAAATGATGGTTGCGCATGTTATGGAGCGTGAACACCTACTTCAGGAATATTATGTGAAGCCTCTCCGCTTTGCGATGGCCGAACGTCTTCCAGGCAAGGAGCCTATAAAAGACGATTCTGAGATGATTTCGATCGGTGGGATTACGCGTTCCTCTCCGGCAGTATCCGAGCCACCCTCAGATAACCATCGTGGGAAAGTTTGCGAGGACCTCGCGCGTGTTTTTCGTGTGCGGGCGGATATGCAGGCGGCTCGTGGAGCGCTCATGGCAGCGCATCCGTCAACGATGGAAGGAAGGCAGGGCAGCCTTGATCAACCGAACCGCCATGCCGATCCCACACAGGAGCATCTCGAGCTGGAGCCCGGCGTATTTGACGTGCCAGAGGCGATGACTAAAGTGGATCAGGCTGATGAGGGATACTATCAGTGTGTTGAAATGATTAAGTCTCAGGCGGAGGTACTGCAGAAGACACAGCACGAGTTGGAGGAATTGATTGAACGCTTCTTCACGGAGTCTGTTTCCGTGGAGACGGAGGAGCAAGCCATGGCGGCACGACTATCGGACGTGGAGCTGGCGAGGGACGCCTTTGAGATTAAGGAGAACGAGCTGCAAATGCTTAATGAGCGTCTCGAGGAGTGCACACAGCAGCGTCAAGCGGCTATACGGAATCTAGAGCGACAGCTAAAGGGTATGCTTCAGGGGAAATTCGAAGTCCGTTTATTCGTCCCCGGAGACAGGGACGCGGATATTTTTCACGAACGCGAACTGCAGATGGGAGATTCCTGCACTCCGATGGGCACAGAACCTATAGGGTGGTCACCAGACGCGACGAGGAGGACCGACTTACCTAATAGCCCGAATACGAGGGCACCATTATTATCTCAAGAACAAGAGAGTGGTGCTTCTCTCGATATGTCTGCTATTAAGCGATCAATTTTAGATAGCTTTCCTGTTAGTGCCCGCATGGCGGATTTGTTGAATAAGACAATACATTGAGTAGATCTTTTTATAACATAGTATTAGTTTGCTTTCTAACAATACCATTTCATCTTCAGAACATAGTTTTCTGCTTTTTCTATTACGTTTTTCCCACCCACCTTACCCACCTTTTTTTTCATTTTTTTTCTTTCCATAAATGTGCGTAGCTTGCTTTCTATGTATTCATAATAGGCGCAGTATGTAAGCAGAGCAAGACGGAAGGGGGTGACGATGCAGTGACTCATATCGTCTTATCTCTATTTTCACATAAAAAATTACGTATCCTCGTATTAAAATTGTGTCAGTCTCAAATCATTGTTTATTTAGTATAAGAAGGAAGAAAGACCAGATATGAACAGAATTGTTCCTTTTAGTTATATTTTTATTTTCTCCATTAATTTTGGTAATAACTCCCAGCCATTAATCAAAACTGCTTTTGCCACGTAAATGGTGATTTCTCTTCTTTATTGTCTGATCCTTTTTTTTTCTGCTATTTACTCATTTCCGATTATGAGCTTATTTTTTTCTGGACATTAGGGATACCCTGTGTGTGTGCTTGGGTAAAGTGCTTGTAGGTTTCCAAAGTCGTCTTTTTTGTGTGTTATATATCTCTTTCTCGATTGCTCGCCTTCCGAATTTTTGCTTCTTTATCATGGATCATCTTGCTGAGAAAAAACGAAAGCTTGAGGCGATCCGTGCCGCCCGGGAAGCCAAAAAGCGCGTAGTAGATCAATACAGAATGTCAAAGGCTCATCTCCCGTCATCTCCAGTGGATCCTTTGTCTAAATCGCTGACGGACTCAAGTTTATCATACCCTGAGAGGTCCACATCAGTGCTGGCGGAGAGTATGACCAGCAGCACAGTACGAAATCCCAAAACTGATAAGGCGGTCGAGCCTCAGTTGGCGGAAATTGCTGCTCCATCGCTGGATTCTGTGGATTCAGCAAAGCAGAATCAAGTGGAATGCAGTAACGATGCGAAACCAATGTCTACAAAGACACCTCCGGTGTCGCCCGGTGCCTTAGCACGGTCCAACTCTGGGAGGGATTCAACATCCAAAGGAGAGTCCACTCAAGCAGCATCGCAGTGTCAACCTAGTAAAGGGATAGATAGTCCACAGCTTGTCTCAAGGGTAAGCCCAGAAACCGAAAAGCCAACAAATAGCCATAGTTATTCTCAATGTTTTGATTGCTTTCGACACTTGGGTGGTTTAGAATCTTCGGATTGCGGAAACGCCTCTACCAGGGTCGCGGAGGTTTGTGCACTGACGCCAAAAATATGCCTGGGTGATGAGGACCGACTGGTGGTCGACATCGCGGTGATCGCGTTGCCTTATAAAGGAGGTAGCACCGCGTCAGGCCGTACTCTTGATTCAGGATTGCCCGGCGGGTTGGAGAAGTCAACGACCCAGCAAGGAACGACAGCACCCCCATCGACGCCTTTTGTCGACACTGTCCCCTGCGTTGCGGTTGCTTACGCGGCTCTAAGCGTCTCCACCATTATGCAGGACGCCTCCTCCATCGTTGGGGAGGCTGCAGCCACCACAGTGAATGGACGCCCGATGGAAGACCTGCCCATGATCCTGAGGTCGAGCTATCCTTGGGGCCACCTCTTCTCGACCTCTGTGCGGCCCAATGCGGCATCGACACTGGCAGCCCTCGAGGCCGTCTCGGCGCAGGTGCGTCAGACGCCTGGGCTCGTGCTGGTCTGGACCGTCATTCCCGGCACCGGCCCCGTGGAGGCAACTACTCAGGACTCGTCCCGCGACGGGGTCGCCGCACCCGTGGAGGCCGATTCGCAGGACCTGGTCGTACTCACACCGCTCGTCTGCGACGCGGAGGTGACGACGCTGATCGCACACCCCTTCAGCCCACCAGGCGTGTTCATCGCCGGCACGGCCAGTGGGCGGTTAGTGATGTGGCATATTGCCGCGTCCGAATGGTTCGGGCTGGATCGAAAACAACTGCGTGCTAGGGCTTTGACCTCGACAGGGTCGGCCTCGGTGTTGGTGGGTAATGTGCTGCGGCCGTCGGCATCGTCTTTCCCGTCGCCACAACTTCATCAGGGCCGTGTTCTTGCGTTGGCCGTCCATGGCAATGTGAGTAACCATTATCTTTATTCAATTAGTCAGGAGGGGCGCGTGTGTACCTGGCAAGGCTGGCAAACTTTACAACCGATTGTGGCCCGCAGTGCTTACTTCGAGGGTGGTGTGTTCATGGGTAACGTTGGGACAGTCGCCGTCTTTGCAGGTCAGCGTGGCAGCGATTCCATGACTAGGGTTTACATTGGGACTTCGGACGGCGCGGTAATTGAGGGTTTTAATCGCAATGACCGAACCATCGAGTTGCATAGGTGTGGGGTGGGTAAGAAGGCAGACGGGTACACTGGCCCAAGTCTACTAGAACGCAATAGTGGGACACTCTCGTGTAACAAAAACGTATCAGATGTCCGAGGAACCAAGGTTGCCGCCTCGTTAGTTCCCTCGGCGGTACCGTCGTCAGGCATTCCAGAGGCTCCTGTGGACACGTCTGGAGCGATGGCCTTCCGAAGCGCCCGGGATCGTGGCCGCGTGATAGCCATGGCATTACAACCCCCTCCCACTCACGTTTCCTTTCGCGATCACGACTGCGTCGTCGTTGCTTTTGCCCACGGCAGCTGCGTAGCATACATGGGGGACACGAGCATTGTGATGGATGGCTTTGTGTCGATGGTGACAGCGTTACGATGGTCTCCTACCCATGCGGGCATTTTTGCCGCTGGCGACGCTGAGGGGGTAGTGAGCCTGTGGGACGTCTATTATTCCTTCTCGGTTCCGCTGTTGTCCGTGCGTCTCGATCAAGCTTCGGCTGGGCTCGGCTACGGGTCATCGTCTGGTATCGAGGCGGTTGTTGTGGTGATGAAGGGAAGGGGTACGTTGGGGTCATCGCTGGATGCCGGTGTGGGCTGTACAATGAGGATGGCATCCACCAGCCATGCACCACCCATCAGATCAGCCATGGATGGAACCACAGAGGCTGTCACATCTCTGACCTTTTCAGCTGATGGGCGATGGCTTTTTTCGGGTGTGACGGTGGGCGACGTGTACGTGCTGGAACTCTCCGAGGAAGTGGTGCGACTTGAGAGAGGGCTTTGATATACATCAAACTTATAGGGAGGAGGTGTGTGTGCCATCGCAAAAAGCCCCTTCAATTGGTGTTTCTAAGAACTGGCTCTCATGTTCCTGCTTGAGACTTGCAATGATTCAACGGGTATTGATTCTAGCGTTACATTTGGAGTACAAGCTGCGTTTTTGAATTTCTATCATGTATACACGTATACCAGGCCAGGGCGTTATTGTACTCAAACTTTTTCTGCATTTTTTCATCTTCAATTGAGCGATCAGTCTTGTGGATCTCTTTATGTGTAGTTCCCATACCTTAGGAGTCTTCCATATATAGCCCACAGATACGTGTGCGTGTGTTTGTGTTTTTTACATCAGCACATGCTTGTTTTACCTTGCCTTTCCCCCCTCTTTGCGCACATATACACGCACACATGCATGTGTGAGACGCTTTTCTCCTCATTATACCTTTCTGCAAATGAAATCGTACATTTTTTAAATGCGATTTTTCAATGTGTTGTCATTTTTTGTTTTCTTCTCCTTGTCGTTTTTAATTTACTTAATCTCATTCCCTCTCGCTTAAATCTTCGCTCGAAGGAGACCATCACCATCCACAATTAAGACTCCAACTTATTTTAACACTCAGTGCTGTATAGGATACAGTTTAGGAAAAACTTCACATATCTATCCTTTTTATTTCCACTGAGCTAACGAAGGTGTGACAGCGAGACTAATTGTTGGAAAATTACAATCCTTACTCATAATAGGAGTATTCTATTTCTGTGCAGTGGTAAGACTTTTGTTTGTTCTTCAGACGTCGGGATATCTGTCGGACTCTAATCAAACAAAATGTTTAAAGCGTCTTCACAAAGATTCCTATACTTGACTTCTGTGGTGCTCGCTAAAGGCGTTCATCCTCAGCAGCCCGCTTCTCACCGAGTGAAGGGTCTTCCGCGTTTGCATGGCATTATTACGGGGTTTAAGAACCGCCGAGGGTACGGCTTCGTTGTCGCTCATGGCACTGTTGGGGTCCCACCAGCAAACCTTCCCGTTCCTCTGGATAGGCTCCTGACCAAATACTTCTTTACCCGTGCGTCGTTATCCGGTGGGTTTCGCGTCAATGAGGGCGACCATGTCTCATTTGAGGTTTGGGGACGCAAGGGTGCGTTGCCGCTGCTGGTGTCCGGGTCGGGTTCGTTTGGGGAAGCTTCTTCGCCGAGCGGTGGTTATGTGCCGCTGCATGAGAGCGTGGTGGAACCAGTCGTGACCTCTAAGAAAGCAGAGCTACCCGACGACGGCATGGACAGCGACGGACAGCTGTTGCATCTTGCGATGCGAATGCGCTTCTATAACATTGAAACTAAGGTGGAAAGTCCCATCACGCCCACTACACTCTGCGGTAAAGTCATTAAATGGGACCCGATTGAGGGCCGCGGGGTTGTTAGTGAGCTCGATATGGACGGAAATTTCCATTACGATGCCCCGTGCTTTGAGCTCACATTGGATGAGACAGACCTTGCCCCGGGCACAGAGTTGCGAGTTGGGCGTTACGTTAAGTTTTGTGTCGATGAGGAAGATGGGCGTGATGATACAGGGGGCTCCCTTCTCACGCCCAGCATGTCTGGTAAAGGCGGTGGTGACATGGCTCCCGCTGCTTCTGTGGCCAGTGGTGGCACACAACCTGCGGGATCAGCGGCGCCGCTGCGACAAGCACGCGCTGCTATTATTGATAGAGCAGCCGAGCGTAAGAACGCCGTGGTAGGAGTCCCTCTCGTTCCAGCCTCGGCACCCTGCGGCTCCGTGAATGAACTTACGCGCTTTTCTGGTACCATTCGCATGGTTGAGGAGAACTTTGGATTCGTGACGGACGACCTTGAAGGTGATTCTATTTTCTTTCATATGACAAATGCCTCATCTCAGGGGCTGCAGGAGGGTGAAAGAGTTACGTACTTACTTCGCATGATTAACTTTGGTAAACATGCCGGAAAGAAAGCCTGCTTCGATGTGCGTCGCGTGAAGAATGGAGAGGATCCGCGAGAATTGGACCAAAGTAGTATGTCGCTAACCCGTTCGCTACACGACGACGATGAAATTGATTTTTTAGACTAAAGCAAGAAGTTCTTGAATCAAAGGAACCCTATCCTAACTTTGAGAGGATCATTACCACAATCATACGCATAAGAAGATCATGGGGGAGGGCAATTATGTTCTTGTAGGGCTCTTTCTGTTGTCTTAAAGCTGTAGTAACTTCTCTATCTTGTGTTCCTCTTTTATAAGCAGCGTGAAAATTTGAGCCATACATATAAATCTATAGATGGATACAATGTTTAGCGCTGAATCCAGGATACTCTGCAACCGTTCTTCTGTGGGTAAGAGCATGGAGGCATGAATTTGTCAATGGCAACGCACCCGATTCCCCCAGTAGATAATGTGGGAAAATATCAAGTTGCGGTAAATAGCAGAGTATTTTAACAAAAACTTCTGATTTCCTAAACTCAGCGATGCCTTTTTTAGTAAATTCACACGCAACTATGCAAACTTTTATTTGACGAGAAATTAGCGGTAAGCATTGCTAAGGCCCGGCGTCTAAAGCTGTTGCGTTTTCTTCTTGTGACCTTCCTCTCTTTAACTTGGATGACCTTATCTTGTTCTCTTCTTTTTATACTGCTCCTACAACCTTCCTTTCTTTCCCTTGTACTTTTTGTTAGGTTCGTGCCAGAAAGGGGTCTTGACTCGCGTGGTTTCCCTTCTTCGTAGAGGCAGGGATGCGGGTTTCCATTCAACCGACACGGCATCTTTGTCCGTGTTCTCGTACTCGCATAGATGACGTATATATGCCAAAGCAACAACACGCAGCGGGCACGCCTTCCGAAAGAGTCAAATAGAATTTATGGCGAGAATTCTTTACCGCAGTGTGTGTGCCTGCTACCACCTTAGCGTGTTTCCATTGCGTTAATTTTGAGTTTGGAGGCTACTGTGCCGCCTGTCGTGTGCCACGTTGGTGTGGCAACAGCTTCGGATGCTTTGGGAGCGGCTCGTAACCCCGACACAACGGGGTTACGCGGGTTCGTCGTGGAGGTGTGCCTTGATCCTTGCTAAGACGCACAGCAACGGCAAAGAGTAAACATATTCACTGGGGGATGGCGCAGAAAATTAGGAGGGATGCTCTACTCGGGCCTCCTATGGGAGGTGGCGTCTCGTGGTTATGAGATGGTCGGAGGCATGTTGCGGTGGAGCAGGGGACAGGGCACGTCGTGACATTTTTTCTCTGCTATTTGTAGCACGTGGCAGCGTTATCCTTTTCAACGCTTGCAATGATATCGTTGTATTTCCCAGCTGTGCTTCCTCAAGCACACGCCTTTCTAAGACGCTGTGTATTGGGTCAGATTTCCTGGTTTGATATTCTTGTTTTTTTCCTTCCACCAGCTTTTTTCGCCTACTCAATTTAGCTACTAAAAAATATTCCAATCTAATTCTTTCTTTACAATCAACCACAATGACAATTCAGAAGGTTCACGCGCGTGAGATCCTGGACTCTCGTGGTAACCCCACGGTGGAGGTTGAGGTCACGACCGACAAGGGTGTGTTCCGCTCAGCGGTGCCCTCTGGTGCTTCGACTGGCGTCCACGAGGCCTGCGAGATGCGCGACGAGGATAAGGGCCGGTACTGCGGCAAAGGCTGCCTGAAGGCCGTCAAGAACGTGAACGAGGTGCTGGGCCCCGCGCTGGTCGGCAAGGACGAGACGCAGCAGGAGGTGCTGGACAAGCTGATGTGCGACCTGGACGGGACCAAGAACAAGAGCAAGCTGGGCGCCAATGCCATCCTTGGATGCTCCATGGCTATCAGCAAGGCCGCCGCGGCGCGCCTGGGTCTCCCGCTGTATCAGTATATTGCGAAAATCGCTGGGACAAAGGAGATTCGCCTGCCTGTGCCGTGCTTCAATGTGATCAACGGTGGCAAGCACGCCGGGAACGTGCTCCCGTTCCAGGAGTTCATGATTGCGCCTGTGAAGGCCAAGTCGTTCCGTGAGGGTCTGCAAATGGGTGCGGAGGTCTACCACGCGCTGAAGTCCATCCTGAAGAAGAAGTACGGCCAGGATGCCGTTAACGTTGGTGATGAGGGTGGCTTCGCACCCCCGATTGCACACATTGATGAGCCGCTGCCGATCCTGATGGAGGCCATCGAGAAGGCCGGCCACAAGGACAGGTTTGCGATCTGCATGGATTGCGCCGCCAGCGAGGCCTACGACGCGGACAAGAAGCAGTACAACATGACATTCAAGAGCGCCGAGCCGACGTACGTGTCTGGCGAGGGTCTCCTGAAGACGTACGAGAAGTGGGCAACCAACTACCCCATCAAGTCGATCGAGGATCCTTTCAGCGAGGACAACTTCGACGAGTTCGCGGCCATCACGAAGGCGTTGGAGGGCAAGGTGCAGATTGTGGGCGACGACCTGACCGTGACAAATGTGGAGCGCGTCAAGATGGCCATTGAGAAGAAGGCCTGCAACTCGCTGCTGCTGAAGGTAAACCAAATTGGCACCGTGTCGGAGTCGATTGCGGCTGCGCGTCTGTGCATGGATAACGGATGGTCTGTGATGGTGTCTCACCGCAGTGGCGAGACGGAGGACACATACATCGCTGACCTCTCTGTGGGTCTGGGGACTGGTCAGATCAAGACCGGCGCACCCTGCCGCAGTGAGCGCACGGCCAAGATGAACCAGCTGCTCCGCATTGAGGAGGAGCTCGGTGCCTCCTCGAAGTACGGCTTCCCTGCCTGGGCTTAGACGGTCTGAAGTGGATCATGCAGAGGAGAATCAATGGATACCTCTGAGCCTAAATATAATTATAAACTATTAGCTAGGCATCACGCTACTTCATCGGAGAAATACCACGTCTGTAGCGCACTGATATCCTCTCAATCTTTTGGTGTAGATTAGAATCTTTTTCTTTAATGTACTTCCAAAAGACCATACATACACAGTTGAACCAAGCGGGTGAAAGGTGTGAGACCGCTGAGTGGGAGGTAGCTCTTTGAGCAAATTGGATGAGCCTAGCACGTATTGATTTTAATTTTAAAGCTTAATAAGGAAAAGTATGAAGAACAATAAACACACAAGTTCTGGGAAAAAAGTTATAACTTCTGTCGACGTTTTGTCAATTTATATATAAAATAAAGTATTACCCCCAAAAGCGAAAATTACCAAATATGTTTTTTATTATTATTATTCCTCATATCAGTTCCGATTACGGTCTGAGGGGCTCAAGTATAATGGTTATTCGGGCAAATAAGTATTGACTTGTGTATGCGTTTTCTAGCAGTATTGAACACCGATAGAGGGCGCGGGTTCACGGTTGAATGATGTTTACTTGTTATTGGTTGTGTATGGTGTATAGCATTTTCTTTTTTTCTTTAACGAGGTTTTTTGTCATATTAGATTACTAGTATTGTTGCTCATCAAATTGCACAATTTTTTTCACATCGCTCGCGAATTGGCGGCCTTTGTCGTGTTTTCTCTATGAAAATAAGTCAATTTAACGTTTTACAGTTAGATAAGGACGTCATTTTTGACGTGTGCTTTGCTTTACACTCATAATCAGATAGTACCTTTGTACGTACTCAATGAGCTCCGATTGCCAGGATGTTTCTCTTGCTAGTAGTGTGAATCATGCTGAGGACGAGCCCTCCATGGCTGAGTCTTCTTCTGGCCTAGCAGGGCGCATGCCTAGAGTGATTTCAGCTGTCTCCTCGGTTTCAAAAGAGTTTCTCCATGACGATATCGTGCCTAGCGGAGTCGGTTCGAAGGATATCACCATCTCTTATATAGTCAGCGCGGGAGATGCGCAAACAATTGGTGATTCTCTCCATCCTGTGACCTCAGCCATCGTCCCTGCTTCATTGTCTCTAAGGCGTGCTGGTGACACGAATAGTACGGAGAGATGTTATCCATTGAATGTAACACAACATTCCGTCCGGACGTTGAGCAACTCTGTGGCGCTAAATGCAATGAATCCTCCGCAGCTGCTCGGTATTGGTGCGATTTTTTCTAACTCGGTCCACCCTCAGACCGGGGATGCTAGATCATTTGCGAAGCCGACACTGGCCCCATCGAGCGTGCGTTGGTGCTCACCAGACCAGTGGGTTCCTGACGCGCAGGTCGTCAACTGCATGGCGCCCGATTGCAAAATGCCTTTTTCCCTTTTCACTCGTAAGGAGCACTGCAAGATTTGTGGAAGGGTTTTCTGCTCTTCGTGCTGCTCTAATGAGGTTGAGATCCTTGAGGACAGATCCCCCTGCTTGAGTCATAGCTGCAATGCCAGCGGAAATGTCAAGGGATTGGACCTGTTGGCCAGCAATGGTTTCCATCATCCCAGGAGCCATTCCTTTATGGCGAATGAGACAGATTCCACCCCAGTGACAGGGTCTCCTTCGCATCCGAATAGATCTGCGTCAGCAGGTTTTATCAACATTGCCACAGGCCACACTGCCATAAGCAATACTGATGTGATTTCCACGAACGTCGTACCCGGTTCGTCGTGCGCTGCCTCGGCGGACAATGCGAGTTCCATCGGCACGCCCCTGCCACAGACCTCCAAGGGGGTGGTCTACCGCGTGTGCAATGAATGTTTTTATGAGACCCAACTCGTTGTCTCAACGCGGGGGGAGGACAGCAAACCTCGACGCAAATGTCGTGGTCAGTTGAAGATGTTCCAGCGGGCGCTGCTAGTAAACGTTTTAAGTTTCCTCTCACTACGTGATTTACTTGAAATAGCGCTTGTATCGTCTGATTTCTACTTTATGTCAAGGGACAACGTGATATGGTATCAGTACAACACTGCGCGATGGCTCAAGGAAACTGAGAATCCATATTTTTCATTTACTGGGGACACAAATCACATGCTGACCGTTGCCGCAGCAAACTCTGCCTTGTCGTCAGGCGGGCTTCGGCATTGGTTTTCTGCCCATGAAAGCTACTATAAATCGACTTCATCACCATCAGCGTTGTCAACACTAACTATAGCGCTAGATGGCAGCAACGCCAGTGTTGGGGAGGGATCAATTAAATTTCCAAGGGCTCCGTTTCTTGAGGATGCCACAGTACTAACCCAGGGGGAGGCGTTCAAGCGAGTGATCTCTCACCACGCGCGATACAACTACACGCAGTTCCTTGATTTTGCAAGACGACAAGAAATGGCACGATGTGAAGGTCTAGCGTGGTTTTCGGTCGCCGCCCGCGTATTATTTTCCTCCCCTATTAGAGTTGCCCTTATTGGCCCCCCAGGCGTCGGGAAAACGACTAGTCTGCTCGCCTTCTTAAGGAAAAACAAACGAGGTAGTACGGTCCACTCGACGATGGGCTTCACACGGCACAGAGTGACCCTGTGGATTAGGGGTGAGTCCAAAGTTGGTGTAAACCTGGAGATCTACGACGTGAGTGGTGATGAGCGATATGAGTCGTTACGTCGATTTATCTGTAGTCATTGTCACGCTATCGGGTTGTGTTACAATCCATGCCGTAAGGTGACGCTGGTGCAGGCTGCGGATGTGATGATGGGGGTTGAACCAGCTCTTGGCCCGCAACCAGTCGTTGTATGCGGTTTAATTCCCTCGACGGAGAGTGATGTCGCAGATGCTAGCAACATCCCACCGAAAGATGTAAGTAATGGTCTCAATGGTGTCCGCCCAGATCTCCAAGTTCCCCAAGCCTCACATCAACAGCATCCATACACACTGCCCGCTGTTTCATTTGCGACGCTTGCAACGCCGTCGTCAGAAGTCTCTGCGCGTTCTCAAGGGTCAACGGTGGCGTCGACCATCACAGTCCGCGAAGCGACGTCTCCGCCGCTGGCGTCAACTCATCCAGCACATGGGAGTATGGTGTGGGGTGCCGAGGGTGCCCCTAGCTCGCGAACTCAAGGACTAACACCTCCCAGACACAGCTCCCTCATCGAGGTATCCGAGGAGGATGCTGCGGGTATCACCGTCCGAGATGGCGGCTCTTTGCATTGTCCTATTGATCAAACGCACGTATTTTATGACCGTCTGCTTGGCTCCCTGATCGATCGTTTGTCCTTGGCTGTCATGGCCAACCGGACAAGCATAGCAAACCTCACCGATGTCACTGAAGAGAGTGAATCCAACAAATTCGGGGGCGTCTCTGCATCCAATTGCTCGCGCTCCTTCGCGAAGCGCGATCCGAAAGTCGACAAGGACATTGCAGAGGAGCTACTGAAGCTGACAATGCAGCCTTCCACACTTAACATACTGCTAGATCGTTAGTCACCATAGCCTGCGTGTGCGTTGGGGGAAGAAGTTTGTGTTCTTTTTTCAATGTTTAATCAAGTCGTGAAGAGTTACTCAGAGGCATTTAATGGTTTTCAAAGTAAAATTTCTTATAATAATCTGTGCCCAAAAAGCTTCTTATGAATGGCCTCTCTCCATAATCATTTCAACCTTTCCTAGATTTTATTGTTGTGAATATTTTTTTTTTGGAAAGGTTTACTAACAAAGGTAATTATCAACATAAATAAACGACGGAATACATTTCACGTACGGCTGAGGTTTCTTTTGATACTGCAGAGTACGTTTTTTCTTTTTAATTATTGTTTCATTTACATTACCACTTTAAGGTGCTTAAGGTAGTTTCCATATTTTCGTGCGTGACCTTCTCAAATACACAGCAACAAAAAGCTTTTTACACTGCAAAAAGGCTGATTTAATGGCAACGAGCGATAAGAGCTTTTTATCTAGAAAGGTCGTCTCAGCGGATGGGCCTAAACAGGACGAAATAAACCACAATCCATCTTTAGAGGAGTGGTGTGCCACCTGCATTGAGCCCGAGGAGGAGTCGAACCGTCGTCGCTCCGTTTTGGAGCGAATTCACAATATTGTAAGGGTGTGGATTCGTGTCCTCATGATCACAGAGTTTCGTATGCCGGAGGCTGCTGCTGCGGAGGTTGAGGGACGCATCTTTGCTACAGGTTCGTATCGTTACAACGTCCACACATCGGGTAGCGATATTGACATGGTGCTTATTGCACCAAATCGTATCACACGAGAGCACTTCTTCGATACCTTGGCCCCGAGGCTTAAGAACGAGCGGTGGGTGACGGAGCTACACTGCATTCGTGATGCTCGCGTGCCGATTATCGCGATGGTATGCGATGGTATCGACATAGATCTTTCTTTCGGTTCCATTCGACAGGATCGGGTACCGGAGGTGATTACCGACGATCTTTTGCAAGGATTGGAGGAGCAATCCGTTCTGAGTTGTAATGCTGTGCGTGTAGCGCACAATGTCATGGATCTCGTCCCCAACAAGGCCGTCTTTCGGCAGACCCTTCGGTTTGTTAAAGCCTGGGGTAAGGCTCGTCTTATTTACAGCAATACCTTTGGCTTTCCCTCAGGCATCGGTTGGGCCATCTTAACAGCCTTTGTCTGCCAGTGCTACCCCAAACAGAATGCAGCGGGCATGGTATCACGCTTCTTTCGTGCGTATCATACGTGGTTTAAACCGAACCCACACGAGACTGGCACCGAAAACCGTGCTATTTACCTCACGGCGTCGATGCGTGGCAAAACACACCTTGGGCGCTGCTGGGACCCCCGAGAGTCGAACTCGGATGCCATGGCACTGTTCCCTGTTCTTACCCCTGCTTTACCCTACACTAACGCCTGCTATAACGTTACATTGACAAACCTGCGGCAGTTGTGCTCGGAGTTTAAGCGAGGATATGAGATTGTGAGTAGCAGCTTGAGTATGAAGCCTTCTGAGGCGAAGAGCGCCTTTGGTACGTATGGAGTGTGGTCAAAACTATTAGAGCCCGCCAAGTTTTTCGGTGAGTACAAGCATTATTTACATGTGCAGGTTTCTTGTAGTGATGCAGAACATTATCAAGCCTATGTAGACGGTGTGGAGTCGAGGATGCGTATTCTTTGGGCCGGAAATGCGAGCTCCCGCGGTCACACTCTTGAAGACTACAAGCAGCTCCGACTGTATCTCAATCCCCGTCGATACGAGGACCCCGAGGAGGTTTTGCTGCGACAGCGGTTGTGTAAGAAGATTCCCACCGGCACTACACGAAACATCACAACTAACACTGTGGCAACACAGCGCCCCGGCTCTGGTTCCGTGGGTGGGGGGGAGGCACATGAAAGCACCAACAACCACTCCCCAATGCTTTTCACAGCGCACTATTTCATCGGTATGACAGTTGAGACGTCTGTTGTGAGCACCAAAATCGACTTGGCGCCCTCTATTCTCACGTTCTACTCGATAGTGAAGCAGCTGAAGCAGTACCGCGAGGGTGTCACGCGACTTCCTGTGATCAAGGCGGTGGATATCCGGCACATCCCTGAGTTTGTGCGGAGAGCAGAGGGCTTTTTGGAGCAGCCGACACTGGAGGATGCAACAGCGGGGGGGGCGGCCGTTATGAGTTCCACCGTCGTCCCTCAGGGTAGTGCGGCAGCGGACCATCATGGAGAGTTACCCGCCTTGCCGCAGGGCGCACCGCCTGAAGTGAAGGCGCTGAGCGGATCTGGCGGTGCGGGCGACCATCCAACGGCTGCCCAGCAGGGGGTGCGAGTGAACGGTGATGCCCTTGCGGCGGTGGCGACGACGGAGGGTGGGCCGCCGCCACCGGATCGCACCGCATCCCTTCGTAGCACTGGTAACGTGCCGCGGAAGCGATTTCGCGAGGCAGATGATGATAACGATGATCTGGAACAGGCTCTAGGGCTGGATTTTTAGGGCACTCATTTCGTGATCTCATTTTTCCTTCGCACACAGCGTCCTGCCGAACAACAACAACTACTAAAACCCATTCTCTCCTAGAAGTGGCTAGAAAACTAGAATCTTCCTACTCACCCTTCCCTTGCTCTCTGTGAACTGAAGGAGTATCGAATCAGTTTTTGTTCCATATTTAATTTGTATGGAGGACGAAGAGGAGTACATGTGTGTGTGCAGGGTATCTTTTTTTATCCATTCTCCTTGAGGTGACCTGGCTAAAATTCCACAGAGGATGATTTTGGTTTCTTGCAGAGAAAGGTTTCGTCTCTTTTCTGTGTTTGTTTCAAGCTTGTAGACGAAAACAAAAGATAGCAAAATCTCATTGGTGAAGACAAAACTATGGGAAAACTCCTAACTATGAGTACTTCACTCGCAAACGTAGTTAGTTCAATAAAACAAACATGACAACCCAATACACAAATTGCTTTCATGATTCTTTAAACCCTTTGTCTTTCTCGTTTCAGGACTAGCTTACTTGTTTTTCTACAAACAACTAGCAATATCGTATAGCGTTTTTTCATTTTTTATTGCTTTTCTTGCTTAGAAGTTTGCTTACCTTGTGTGTAAGGTACAACGTGGAGTACTTTGTGATACATTATAGGATTGTATTACTTAGGGATAGAACTTTTCTTTTGATTTATCTTTTAAATAACGCCTCTTATTTATACGCAGGAACCTTTTTTTCTACTTCAAAGCGCTGCTACGTAGTGCAATCAGCTGCGAAGAACTCTTCTGGATTTCTGCCAAGCGATGAACATGTTGATCCCCCGCTGTGCGATCAGGTCGGGCGTAGATAAGAAACTGACGGAGTTGGTATGGAGCGCGAAATGGCTGCGGGAGGCCGAGCCCGGTGCGGCATCCAGCCTGGGTATGGATCTCTCGCAGCTCATGGTGCGGGCCGGCACCGCCGCCTTTGATGTCTTCCGGGCGCATTATCGGGATCGCATGCACTGGCTGATTCTCGCCGGGGCGGGAAACAACGGGGGGGACGGCTACGTCGTCGCGCAGGCCGCGGCGTCAATGGGCGCGAAGGTGACGGTGTGGGTGATGCCGCACCTCAAGCCGCTCCCGGTAGAGGCAAACAACGCGCTAAAGACTTGGCTGGCCTCTGGGGGCGCGGTGGGTGAGGTTCCCGCCGACCTTGAGGTACCCGAGGATGTCGACCTCATCGTGGATGGCCTACTGGGCACCGGCATTTCAGGGCCAGTTCGGGGTCTTTACGCGAAATTGATTGATCAAGTGAATGCGTTGCCCGTGGCGCGGGTCGCGATCGATGTGCCATCCGGCCTGGACGCCGAAACTGGTGAGGTTTCCGGCCCCTGCTTCAGCGCTCATCACACGGTAACATTTATCTGCCTGAAGCCAGGCCTTCTGACCGGTCGAGCACGGGATTATGTCGGTCAGCTGCACTACGACCCGCTCGGGCTCGGGGCGTGGCTAAACGACCCGGAGCGGCGCCGTTCGGCTTTCGGCCTCCGTCTTTCAGCAGATAGCCTACCACGATACTTTGGTGCGCCGCGATCGCATTCGTCGCACAAGGGTTGTCATGGGAAGGTGGTTTTGGTCGGCGGTGAGAGCGGTTTTGGTGGCGCGGCGGTGATGGCGGCAGAGAGCTCCCTCTGCGTGGGGGCCGGTCTTGTGCGGGCCCTCCTCGCGAAGGAGCATGTAGGCGCTCTCCTGGTGCGATGCCCAGAGGCGATGTGCGTGGGCCTGGACACCACCGCCGCGGCGGGCGTGATCGAGGCCAGAGTGGGTGAGGCCTTGGACTGGGCCGACGCCGTGGCGGTGGGCCCCGGGCTTGGGCAGGGGAACTTTGGCCGGGCCGCCCTCGCCGCGGTGCTTCGACATGCCGCCGAGCATCCCACAAAGCTGGTAGTGCTGGATGCGGATGCGCTCAACCTCTTGCCCGCGTACCTCTCCGAGCAGGGCTCGCCACTGCGTCTGCCTCACAGCATTATCACGCCACATGTGGGCGAGGCCGCGCGTCTGTTGGGCTGTGCCGTGGCTGACGTCGAGCGGGACCGCTTTGATGCCGCACGTCGGCTCGCAAATTTACTTGGCGGTGTGTGTGTCCTGAAGGGCCCTGGCAGCGTCATCTACGATCACTGTGGGGGTGAGGCGGCCAGCGAGGACGCTCACGGGTCCGAAGCCCCCTTTTCCCCACAGTGTTGTGCTATCATCGATGCCGGTAACGCTGGTATGGCGACGGGTGGCATGGGGGACGTCCTCACTGGCGTCCTGGCTGGCGTGGCGGCCCAGATGCTTCCAAGGGGAGACTCCAAGATCTTTGATGTGGCCTGTGCAGGTGCGCTGGCGCACAGCGTTTCAGCCGATTTAGCGGTTCTGGGGCGTGGGTCGCGGGGGTTGCGAGCGACAGAGCTACTACCGCACTTGCAGGAGTGTGTTAATGCCTCGTGAGAGAGACTCGAGTGTGATATGCACCAATATATCGATACACCTATATATATATATATATATATATATATATATATATATTATTAGTAATACGT